CATTAGGTATCCACGATACTATTCACAACTCAATCGTGAAGTGTGATGTCGATATCAGAAACTAGTTGTATGAAAACATCGTCTTTTCAAATGGAACGTCAATGTACTCAGGCATTAACGACAGACTTGAGAAGGAGAAAGTTGAAGATGAACAAGGATTAAGCATGAGAAGGCTGTTTATGCTTGGCTCAATTTAATTATATTTGTATTGGTGTTTATTTGGTTTAGTTTTAATAATTATTGTTATAATCAATCATAATATAATTAATAAATTTACTATCAGTTATATTATTCAAAGGTTGATTTTTTATAGTTTATTTCTAAGTTAAATATCTATACAATTTATTATTCTTTTGTCACGCATTGAATAACGTATCCAAAACTGCTATTTTTTTCGACTTAAATTGATGTTTTATAGCGTTGTTTTACCATATAAGTTAATTATTTTAATGTTATTATTGTGTTAGACAATAACAAACAAAATTAATAGTAAGTAGTGGGCTTTTATCGTAATATTTTGTTGTTATTTGGTTCTCTAAGTATTTTTAGTTTGATTGGAATCCATTTTTTATTTTGACAATAAAGTAGGGGGAATGAGGGGCTTGACCTATACTTTTAATGGTTTATTTACTATATTTAAATAAAAACTATTTTTAATGTTTTATTTAAAAACACAACCTTGACTTATAAATTATAGTTTATAAACTATAAAAGTATTTGTTCATCCTTAGCATAAAGTCAGAACTCGAAATTATATTCGGATTGACTTGGGTGTTTGGGAGTTTTCTCTCATTTGGATCAACAATAGGTGGCAATATTGTTGTTTGTAAAGGCTCTCGATGTTGGTTTAACTCTTGTATATTCCAAGGTAAACTCTCTTCTGCCATCTTGACCAAATATGTCGATGAAGGCGGAAGAACAAACGATTCCAATTGTTCGCTGGTATAAACACCATTGGCTTCCTGTAACAATCTGGAAGCCTCTTTTATAGAAACGAACATTCTTTTGATCTTGCCAATATTGACTCCAACAACACCAGAACGCTTAAACGATGCAACTATAATGTTTTTAGTTACTTTGCTCTTCATTCTCCCAACACTTTTTTGCATGACAAGTTATGGGCACACCAGTTTGCTCTCTATGATCTCCTTCTTCTCTCAAAGCTTGTCGTAATCTGCAATCACTCTCACTAAGTTCTCTCATCCAAGAAATCAATCCACTTTGAACTTCTCCGTCTTCAGTGACGTGGAATTGGTGTCAATTGCTCTTCCTTCAATTGTCAAAGAACCGTGTGAACTGATGGCTTGTTTGGCAACTCCAAAAAACATAAGTCAAGTGGTTGGACAAGGTGACTTGTGTGAGGGACATAATAATGGAAAACAACATTGTGGTCTTGGGCAAATTGTATCAGCTGCTCATTCAAATGGCCACTGAAGTTGTCCATGGTGACTACAGCTCTTTCACTGACTAGACACCTTTTTAATCTGATTGATTCGATGTGAAGAATTAGATGATTCACAATCCACTGCTGGAAAATAGCGCCTGTAATAAAACCACTCTTGGAATGGTAAAAAGTCCACTCCGGAATTTCTGCTTCCAATTAGATATGTACTTTTTGTTGGGTAGTACAATAGCAGGAGCAATGAAACATCCCTCAAGTGAAATACAAGCCACACAAATACTACGCTTACAAGAATGTGAAACGCCCAGCTTCGGTGCTTCTTGGGTTTTTAATTTGCTGTAAGTGTCATTTGAAACATACACATATAGATTGTGTTTGTCCATCCAGTCAGAAAAGCCAACTTCGTCAACATTGAAAAATAGACAAGCTGGTGTATTATTGAAGTTGCTAAGCTCTTTGTAGTTGTTGAAAACATTCATATAATCTATTTGAATTCTTTCCAACTCATCCGGAACAGCTTTTATTTTTTTTACAACCATGTTTAGTTTCCATGTGTTTCCATAGACCACTTGCTGTGATTGTGAATAACGGATCAACTTTTTGACACAACGACATGATAAGTGAATTTGTTATTGCAATTTTCTTTTCATTGCACAATAGTATCAATTGTTTTATCATATCTTCCATCTCTCCGGTTATTTTTCTAACATGCCAATCTGGTATCACATCTTTTTCTTTATCAAGATGCAGTGATACTGCCTGCTTCGTGATATTAAACAACTTGCCTATTATTGCTAAAGGAAAACGTGTTTTTGAATAAAGAAGTTGTATTTGTGCTGTCATAGAAAAAGATAGTTGAAGCTCTTCAATTAAGTCTTGGTCATTTTCAATTATGAAAATGAGCTTTTTAATCTTTTCTATTTCACTTGAAAATTGTTGATCTTTCCTTATCAAACAAGCGTTGTACTTCATTTTGGATAAGCTAAGGATCTTTTTCTTTGACATTTTGTTGTATATTATTTATAGTTTTTGTTATTTTTTAAATAGAACCGGGAAAACTCTGTATAGTAAAAAATATAATAAAACAATAGGTCAAGCCCCTCAGTTTCGTTAAGCCCCTCACTCCTTCTACTGTAATATTTTTGTTATGTTCTTATTTTATTTTGGTTTGAACCAATCTTATTGGTTATATCAAACCCACAACTTTGCACACTTTTAAGTGTTTTTTATTTTGTTTTTTAAAAAACTTGAATATCTGATAGTATTATTTAATCAATTTTATTACCATTTTTATTTGTTTATGAAAACAGTTTATTTTCGTATTATTTATATTACTAATATTAATTTGTTAAATTATATATTTTATTAATTGAAGGACGAATCTTTAACAAAAACCAATTGATTTGAATTTATGAATGATGAAATGTTTTATAAATAATTCAAAAGTTTGAATTTAAGTTGAACTATTTTATCAAATAAGTCAAAAATCATTCTAAATTGTTCATGAAAAGTCGCCATTATTTTCATTTTTTGGAAAAGTGAAATTATTTTTTGAAATTTTTTTCTGAAAAAATAAGAAAAAAAAATTTTGTCAGTCCTCAAAGGGTTAATAAATACAGATGGATTACAAAATTATTAAATAAACAAATATTTCGAGTCAAAAGACATTTAGTCTTTATTCACTCAGTTTTGAAAAATGGTTATTTTATGTTTTCCAATTTAATGTATTCTTTTTTATTTGAGTTAAAAAGTCTGTTTTGTACCGAAAAATAATCTATTCGGTAATATAAAAGTATTTCGAAGTTTTAACAAATTTTTTTGGTCGTGTTTTTCATTTTTTGAAATAATTCCAACAATATCACCATATTTTTTTACAAATTTGGGTAATTCAATGAATTTGTAAATTTATTGAATTTATTTAACCAAATAATTAAGATATTTATTTGGTTAAAAAATTATTTATTATTTTTTTATTTTAATAATAGGCTTTTTAGAAACAGTAAGATAATACAACAACCCTTAAAAATACAATGATATTTAAAAATAATGTCTTTTTGAATAGCATAATGATATTCTTTTTGCTAACTGACTGTTAATTTTCTTTAAAATAATTACAAAATAAATATAATAAACCATGGAAAGTATCGCGTCAGATCCACAAAAATAAAGTAATAATATTACTGCATTTTACAGCCTTATCAATCGTTAAAATTATTAAATAGCTGATACAAATATATTCAAATATATGCATTGTTAAAATAGATAACAAAATATGATTATATGTCATCAAAAATATTGATAAACGAGTTAAAATATAGAGGATCATGGTTAGACAAAAGAACTATATATCATTTTTAAATGTTTTTTTCTTAAATTAATAGATTTTGTATTAGTTTATGTCTAACCATGAAAAAGTTAAAACTGTTGATGAAGCTAAAATTAATCAAAATACTCAAAAAATTAAAAATTATTAATTAATAATAAAAATGTCATAAATTGAAACCAATAAAAACGAATCTTAAGAATGGACTTTGGGATATTATTTGTTATTGTTTTCAAATTGACCTAACTTATTATTTAACTTATATGCCTTTTCTAAAATGACATTTTATTCATCTCGAAATATCTGGTTGGCTTGTCTATTTTTTTCGTGTTCGCATTAAAACACTACAACATAAAACTTTTCTTTGTTATTGGTTTTAAAATTTTTTGTTGTTAAGTCATTTTAACAATTGTTATTTTTAGCACACGATTATAAAAAAATCAAAAAAAAACTTTTTTAGAAAAACCACTTTATTTTTATTATAAATAATATTATTATTATATATTGTAGAAAAAACAAGATATCGTCAAATAATAAATAGAATTTAGTTGAAAACACTTCATATTTAAAAAAACAATTGTTATAACAACAACTTTGCATTAAATGTATTAAATGGATACCAAAGACTTGTTGTCCAAGTAAAATGAAAACTTGTTGATGAAAAAAGAGTTTTAGTTTGTCTTTTTATTTTAATTATATTTCATTTATTTTTTATTAAAAATAATTTATTTCAAAGTGGGTGTTGACTTATTTTAGTTTTAAATAAATTTGACATCCAAATAATTTGGCCACTATAAAAATACACGATTTGTATATTAAATAAATTAAACAAAAGAAAGATGTCGAGAATATTGTTCAATTTTGTTATCAAACTCTTTTTTTCAATTAAATTAAAAAGATTAAAGAACTCAACCAATCCATCATAAAAGATGTTTCTTTTCTTATTCACCAAAAATAAATGAATGCTTCAGTTTTATTTTTAATTTTAAATACATGTTTCGTTATTAAGGATCTTATCTTGTTGGAAACAATTAATATTATCAGTTTTACAACTAATTATATTTGCTTGTTGAGTTAAAACTTGTGGTTCAAAATATTTTTTATTAATCTTTTATTATAAAAAATAATCAATATTCGCACATATTTTTCGAAAATGTAAAATAATAAATACATATCATTATTTTCTTTTACCATCCATTTCAGTTTAACCCCTTTAAATAATAACCGCTTATTTGTTTGGTATATAAACTCACATTTTTATATAAATCATTCAAAATGATTATCACATCCATTCATATGCTCTTTATAACATCGTTGTTTGAACTCGTAGAATCACAAGATAAAAATACAAAAGTCTGTATGATCGACTTTGGAGCGGTTGATATGGATACAAATGAGAAATACCTGGCAAAATCGTGGGATTGTTATGATCGAATACCAAACTCAAAGACTGAGATTTTTGCATTGAATTTGGATTTGGCATGTTATATCCATGAAAATATGATGTTCCTTCATAAAGCCTCAGAAACGGTAAACAGATGTGGGCAATGGATTCAAATCATTGGCCCTTCACAGAGTCAAATGAATTGTATGATAGCTGGATACCGAAATTATGAAAGACCAACTTTAACTGTTGTTAAAGAGGAGAGACTTATAAGTGTTACTCCACAATTGTTCACTTCTTTAACTGGTGGTTTTGTAAACCAAGCTGAAGATATGACACAAGTGACTGTATCATTCAGTGATATTGGAATATCTGCAACACCAACCCTTTTTGTTTTAAACAGAACCGAAACTGAAGTAAATGTACAAATAGTGAATACCAATAAAGTGCAATCAATGTTGGCATTGGGCCGAGTCTCGACGAAAGAATTGTTGTATTATAACAAGAATCTTGATGACACTTTTACTCTTCCTTTGTTCAACGAAAATATCTATGTCTCACTGATTGATTTAAATAGTGAAAATATTAATATTGATAACATCAATTTGGCCACTGGAAATAGATACGTGTCGGGTGTTAGATTTGAACAAAACAAAATACCAAAATGTAAGTTCTTTACTGAAACGCAAGTCTTTGAAGAAGGCAGTACATTTGAAGACGATATGTTATTTAAGTGGTATATCCTACATACTAAAATGGATGGTTTGGGGAAAATATATGACTCTGCACTTGCAAATATAGTGTTAAACATTGAAGAAACTGAAACTAAATTGTCATTTTTTTATTCAATTGAGATATTAATGAATAATGACTTTAGAGAGTTTATTTTCAAATTAAGAACCACCAATTTAGAAGGATTTGAGTTAAAAAGAGCCGATTTAATATTGACCAAAAACTATCTACAAACCGACAAAGTGGGCTCTGAATACACCGAGCAGAACCTGAAAACCAAAATGACAATCAACAAAACTTCTGGTGAAGTAAAAATAAGAGCTCTATTTAGCAAAAATATCATGTTGTTTTCAAACACAATTGCTTTTGTATTTGGAACATCAAAGGGAAGTCAAATTTCGATTGGAACATCTCATCTTATCAGATCCGACATATATGTTGATCAACCAGATTGCGATAGTATGTCATTCGATTGTGAACGTACAGACTGTCTCACTTTTGATAACGACACAATTGAAGATGGTCCAAATCCATTTACAAAAGAATGTCGACCGGCATGTGGGACTTGTTTTGATGTCTTCAAATGTTCTACATCAGGAAAATGTGTCAAAGAAAAGGTTATCAATCTTCGCAGCAATGGCTTTAGTATCTTCTCATTATTATTCCTCATTCTCTTGGCTCTATTTTTGTAATTTCGGCTTTTTTATTATTTGTTAATAAAAATGTTTTATTTACTAAAATGTTATTTAAATGTTATTGTATTTAAATTAAAATTAACAAATAATAACCATAATGTAAAAACGAACAAATGTTTGGTACTGTTTAGTATGTAGGCTCATATACTCTGTGAAATTTTTTGTTTGAGATGGTAAATTTTATAATAATTCTAAATAATTTTACAATTTACAACAATAAGAACAATAAAAGCCGAAGATGTTTTTTATTTTCCATGTTGTTGTGAAAATAGTTACATTTAATATAAATTCCCTCAAGCGAGCCTTTTGGGATTATTTTAAATTTTTCTATTATATTAACTAGAATTAAATTATTGATACTAATTTTATATTTCAGATTTGTTCCACATGATGTGGAACAAATTCAAAAACAAAAATTCTGATTGATATGGTCCACATCAATCAGATTTTTTTTTCAACTCTTGTTTCTAATACTTAACTATTAATTGTAGAATTAATATGATAAAATTAACTATATTTAAAAAATCCCATAAGGCTAGCTTAACTCGCCAACAACCCAATACTGCTCTTTTTAACAGTTTTTCAAAAAATTGTCCCAAAACTGTTTAAATAATTTTGAAATATTATTAGGTGATTTTCCCGAAAAAATAAATAAAAACAAATAATATATACAGTGAAAATACGTTTCAAAATGAAGGGAAAATAGTTTAAAAATGACAGATTTTATTTTAAAAGGACAAGATTTTTAATAAAAAGGATGAAAATCATAAAAAGTGATGGAGATTTGTTTTAAAAAGGACATGTATTTTTATTGAAAAGGACAGGATTTTTGATAAAAAGGACGATTTTCGAAAGAAATGACGATTTTCATGAAAAAGGACAGGAATTTATTATAAAAAGGATGGGATTTTTGTTAAAAGGATGGATTTTAAGAAAATGTGACAGCCATTTTTTGAAAAAGGATAACATTTTTAACAAAAAGGATCGATTTTTTAATAAAATATAATTTATTTCCGACATTTTCCCGATTTTACACATAAAACACAAACAATTAAAATACCATAATCAAGTTTTAAAAAAAAACTGATAATGAATAATTAAATCATAATAAGAAAGAGTGTTTTAACGCAATTTTAATCTTGATCTTAATAATTGATTTAAATGTCACAATCTTTGACTTCTATCGACGCCAGAGACCCGATAACAAGGAATGAATTTATTGAAAATCCACCACTTATCCAATGGAATGAACAACAGCGCCAGGTTGAATCTAAAACACTTTTCATTCTTCCCCAAGCTACCAAAAGAAAAAGGGGAAGACCCAAAGCTCGGTCAGAATCAATAAACCAAGCCAAAAGACCTTATCACAAAGTAACAATACAAAACAAATTCAATATGATTAAATTTTTCATAGTTAATGCGGATACTAAAGATGATGTGTTTTACAGTGGAGAACTTGGTATTAAAATCAAGGCTGTCAAAAATATGTTAGTCAAATTAAAGTGATGAAGAGGTTTTCAATATATATTTCATGGAATTGATGAAACACTATGACGACAACAACAATTCAGCAGTGTTTCGGTGTGACAATTGTACTATACACATCCATTTGAGGGAACTTGTTACTAACATTCATCATTCAATTGTTTATAATACAGCTTACAGTTATGAACTCAACCCGATAGAAACTGTTTTGGGGTTTTGGAAAAGGCGTGTAGAAAATGACATACGTATTTGGACTGGCCTTGGCGATCTTCTTGAAAAAAATGGATTTAATTTAACCAGCTGAAGTAATAGCGTCGATGGAGAGATGTCTCAATGAAATTTGTGCAAAAGCATATAATAAAGACTTGTAATTTCAAATTGTTTGTGTTTTATGTGTAAAATCGGGAAAATGTCGGAAATAAATTATATTTTATTAAAAAATCGATCCTTTTTGTTAAAAATGTTATCCTTTTTCAAAAAATGGCTGTCACATTTTCTTAAAATCCATCCTTTTAACAAAAATCCCATCCTTTTTATAATAAATTCCTGTCCTTTTTCATGAAAATCGTCATTTCTTTCGAAAATCGTCCTTTTTATCAAAAATCCTGTCCTTTTCAATAAAAATACATGTCCTTTTTAAAACAAATCTCCATCACTTTTTATGATTTTCATCCTTTTTATTAAAAATCTTGTCCTTTTAAAATAAAATCTGTCATTTTTAAACTATTTTCCCTTCATTTTGAAACGTATTTTCACTGTAAATTTCATAATTGGATAATTTTTTATTTTTTATACCAAAAAATCGTTTTGTGCATTTATTTTTTAAATAAAAATTTGAAAGCAAAACATAACAAAAATTACAACCAAAATAATAAAGAGTTGATGGGAAAAGTCGGCTTTAGCAAATTATAGTAAAATATAATATTTATTGTTATAAATTCAAAAAACATTTTATATCATTTAAAAAACATTAATTAAAAACAAAAAAAATAATTAAAAATATTTGAAAAACCAAACAATGGTTGAATTTTTTTATATTCCCGTTAATAAAATTGATTTTTTGATACAATAACGGTCAATTGAGACCACTTGATGTTTGTTTTTAAAATTGAAAATGATGATTTAGTAAGTATAAAAGAAAGCAAATTTGATAGTTATCAAACTAATCATTTGATTAATTATTTAATAAGTACAACACAATTCAATAATAAAAAATTTAAATGTAGCATTTAGAAACAATTAACTTCTAACAACAAATTTGGACTTTAAAATATATTAAAGAAGTCCACAAAACACAGTGAATGTTTAAAAAATCACACATTCAATCCACCAATCAATTTCTATGTTAAAGTGTCAATGTGTAAAATCAACTGAGATTGATTATGGTAGATGCTTATAGTTTTAAAATATTCAATTTCTGTATTTAATTTCAAAAAGGTGTCTCAATATCTAAATTGAATTTGTGTCCTGCTCGAAAGTTTTATAATTTTTAATAATAATAAAAAATACAAATAATAATTAATAAAAATGGTTGTTTATAATAAAATATAGTTAATCTTATCGAGACAGACTATTTTCTGCCAACTCTGAGAAAAGTATTCATAAAAACTAAAGAAAATGATAAAAAGCACACATAACTAAAGTGAAAATTGATATTTTTTGTTTGACAAAACAAATAAATAATAATAGTCTTAATAAAAAATATAATTGGTTATGTTCAGAGAATGACGCAAATTGATAACAGTGGTTGTTATTTCCATTGAATAAGGTGCTTCTGTGCCATAGTGAAAATGATAGAGTCGAAATAGTTGTAAAATATTATAATAATAAAACGAATCCATTATGCATTACTTTTGCAGACAGCGATGCATCTGTAATTGATTATCAAGCAACCCGAATATAAAGAATAATTATAATAAAGTATACCTTGTTATTGACAATAAAAAAGCTAAATTACGCATAACGTAAAACACAACAAAAATTAAAAATATATACCAAATAAATCAATAAAATGGCATTGATAGACAAAGAAGTTTGGTTTTTTGTTGTTTGAAAAATTAAAAATATAGTTGTGGTTTACTTTATTCATTTTAAACACCCCTTTCAATAGATTATTAAAATGTGTAATTTTATACATCAATATATCAAGAGTCAACAACAAACAATTGGTTAAACAGTCCATATATTTGACAAAAAGTCAGACAACAATATAAAAATATGTGGATAATTTGTAGTGGAGGGAAATTGTTATTAAATTAATTATAGATTTGACATTATAATTTGTTTTTAATGATTGCTTGTTATATTTTAATTTCTTTTGATAAAAACTCTTCAAGAGATTAGTCACTTTATTGTAAATACCAAGAGATAATAAAAATATTTTTTAGAGAGACAAAAATTGTCAAAAAATCTTGCTAAGTTGTACTGTCTGAAAATACACAGTGAATATAATTGGTTTTTATGAAAAGTTTATATTTTTTATAAAGACTATTATGTACAAAAATTTTATATGTTTACATTAATTATCATTGACGTGTTCATGTATCTTTTGCAATTTGTATTTCATTTTCAACTCAGAACCAATTGTTTTTATTGTTTTATGAATAAAAACATATTTATTTGTTTAAAAAAATGTTATTGCATTTTACCAGTATTATTATTTTGCCATTTTTTACGTTTTTGTCATAAAATTTTATATTTATTTTTCATTTTTTCACAATTTATTTGTTTATTAGTTCACGATTTGAACTCGTTATTCCATTTTCATTTTACTATAATTGAACTACACTGTATAATATAATTTTTTTCAAAAAAACAAAAACACTGCTCTTTTTAACAGTATTGGTTTGTTGGGGATTAGGTACGTCGGCGAGTTAAAACGATGTAGTTTTATATTGTAACTAATTATTAATGTTAAAACATTTATATTGCATTACATTTTATAACAATATTATCATTAATTTTGAATAAAAATTTTCAAAATAAACAAAATAACGAATTATGAGTTTGCTTGATGGGTACCACATGATGGTCGTTTCACAGTATTTTGAAACGTTAAACGATTTCATTAATTTGGAGTTAGTAAATAAGAAGTATCAATACAACATGGCAAAGTTTCACAATAATCCAATTCCAATTGATAAAAAAACAATAAACTTTTTTACACATATTGAAACTTTAAATATGTGGTCTTCTTTTGATGAATTTTTTGGAAATGACATTTTTGGAGTAGAGAATGAGGTTTTGTCCAATAAAATCAATTTTTTTCGAATAATTATTTGGTTTGAAGTTGATTACTCTTTCTCACTAAAACACAAAAACACCAACTTTGTGTTTAAAAACATCACTTACACAAAAGAAGACCGTGCCAAATTCAAACATGCGAACATACCAAATACTGTCACCAAACTTGACTCTTTTGCATTTACAAACGCAAACATCACTTCTATTGACGTACCACAACAAGTCACTTCAATTGGAGATAACTGCTTTTCTTGTTGTTATCGTTTAAAAACGGTGAACTTATCAACCCAACTGAAATATATTGGCGAAGAGTGTTTCTGTGAATGTAATGCCTTGGCATCAATTGATATTTCACAAAATGTTAATTTACTTGGTAAAAGGTGTTTCACGACATGTAACAATCTCACTTCTGTGTCGTTACCCAAATCTCTTTCTTATCTTCCGTTTTGTTGTTTTTTCAAGTGTGTTCATCTACAAATGGTGAAATTTCCACATCATCTCAGTTACATTGAAAAATGCTGTTTTGCACGTTGTTCCGCATTGAAAACAGTGACAATCAGAAATATCGAAAATTTCATTGGTGAATACGCTTTTTTTAATTGCGTGAATTTGACATCAATTAACATTGAAGGCAACATTCAAAGTATAGAGAGCAAATGTTTCAAAAGATGTAGTTCACTTGTTGATATTACACTTCCTAGTGGATTGTCGTTTATTGGAAACAACTCTTTTGAGGAATGTACAAATTTAAGTGCAATTAAAATACCACAATGCGTAACAGAACTCCCCCGAAAGTGTTTTAAAAAGTGTTTTAAATTGGAGATAATTGAACTACCAAGTGGACTTGTTAAGATGGGAGATATGTGTTTTTTCGAGTGCTCAAAATTGAAAAACGTTGTACTACCACAAACAACAAAAGAACTTGGAAAAGAGTGCTTTTCGCGTTGTAGAAGAATGAAACGAATTAATCTACCAAGTGGATTGAAAGAAATAAAATTGTTGTGCTTCGAAAATTGTACTTTACTGAGAATTAAAATACCAACTACAATTACAATTTTCGAAGAAAGGTGTTTTGAAAATTGTGGAATTGTCACATTTGAAAAGGATGAAATTATAAAACAACCTAAAACACTTTAATTGATAATTCAAAATATGTTTTTTTTTAATTTACATTTTAACTGTTGTTTGATTTTATTTTTTTAATAAAACCAGTAAATGTCATAATACAGGGGGGCTAAAAAATCGCTTCTGTCTTTTTAACCGCTTCCACTTAATTATATAGATTCAAATAATATTAATATAATAAATTATATGGTACTGTTTACCAAGAGGGTTGAATATGCTTTGTGGAGACTTTTTTCTCCGAGGTGGTAATTTGTATCATACTTTTTATTATAATATTATTAGTTATAACGATTAAATCGATAGGAAGCGGTTAAAAAGACGGAAGCATTTTTTTCCTGTATAGTTAGACATAAATAATAATTAAACATTAAAATTATAAAAAAGAAAACCCAAATATGATATATTTCAAAATGCTTTTGTCACTTTGTATATTTTAAAATTGTTTTAATGTATGGTAAACTGTAATATATATAGTATAGCCATTTTACCTCTTATAAATACTTAATATTAAGTATTTGATATTTGATAAAATATATGACATTATTCAAAAAGTGTTTATTTGTGGGTTTATCATGGAATTGTGAAGTAAATTCTATTCACCAATTTTTCCATTAAAAATCAGTGTTATAGAAAATATAGTAGTTTTTTTTAATTATAAAAAACTATATTATTTATCTGAGTGGACTTAAATTCAAGGTTCGAGAGCAAAATAATTATTTGTGGGTTTTGTATTTGATTGGTCCATTGACCCACAAATAGACGTAACCCACAAATATAATAACCCACAAAAAGACACTTTTTACTGTATTCAAAAGAACATTGTAAATCAAAGTCAATAAAAGAACAAAATAATTAATTAAGATTTTTTCTTTTGTCTGGTTTATGACTTTTCGACACGGGTTTTGTTCGTTTCCCTGTAAGAAGACATTTCTCCTTAATCTGTTTCTCAACTTCGCTTTTGATTTCCATGACCAACTCGCCTTTGATTTTTGTGACTGCAGCAACGACCAAATTGTTGAGTAAAGTGTTACACTCTGATTGAGACATCAAAGACATTTCCTTCTGTGTATTTTCTTTCTTTTCGACTTTTTCGATAAGTTCTGGAGCGATCTGCTTTTTCGACTTTTTCGGTTTGGCTTTGTCTTTTTGTTGTTTTGTGGGTTTTGGAGAAATTGGTTGTTCGCGTTGTGTCTGTGTTATTTGATGTTGTACTTCTGTTGAAACCGTGTCTTTCCGAACAATTGCTTCGATCATTTTCAAGTCATGAAGTATTTGTTCTTGTGTTAAAACTCCCGTGTTATTTTTGACTTCTTTCACATTTACATTGAATTCTTTTTGGACAGTTCTATTGATGTCTTCATTTTGTTTATCTTTTTGTGTATTTTCATCGAAACTTTCAAATTGAATTTCGTGCTGGGTAGTTTCTTCTCTTTCTACTGTTAAATTTTCCGAATCTTGTGATTTGTCCATTTCCATTGGAATCACTTTCTGTGGTAGTTCTACAACATTTGGGATTTCCATTTTTAGATAACTTTGTAGTCGTTCATTTGTCTCATTTTGTACGTCTTTTAATACGTTTTCATGGGGTTCTTCAACCAATTCAACTATTTCAAATGAATCATTTTCGGTGTTTTCCATGTTTTGTATATTTTGAATATTTTGAATGTTTTCATAATGGTCATCGACTTCTTTTGTATTAACATTAAAGTCGTCTGCGTCTGAAGGATTTAAATCCAAATTTAAGTCGATGTTTTCATTAATTTTATTTTCGATGACGTCTTTTTGTTCTTCAACTTTGTTGTTCATTTTTTCATCCATTTTTATTTCTACGTTTGCACCATTTTGAAGTTCGTCGATTCGTTCATTCTTTTGAAGTTCTTCGGCTTTTTTATTTGGAATTTCTGTTGATGGTTTTTCATTTTCAGTTTTCATTTGTGGCGCTCGAACTTTAACTTTCATTTTTTTATCGTCTATTTGGAAACCCTCTAATTTGTCCGCAATTTTCTGGGCGATTCCCACGTTTTTGGTGACAATCATACCAGAACCACAGTTTTTTGCTTTTCTAAGTCTGGGTTGAATAATTTGATTGGTTTTGAATTCACTGAGGTACTCTTCTAACGCGTTTTTCTCCCTTTCTTTGGGCAAATTTTTTATTACTATTTTTTTGCACCCGATTTCGTCGTTTGTATATTCAGCGAAAAGTTGTTTTCCATAAAATTTATCTTTCTGAATTTTGTGGAATATTGCAACAGCGTTTTCTTTTGTCTTTGCATTAACCAATGCAAATTCCATTAATTGGTCTTCAACAGTTGACACAAAACACGCCATCAATGGGTCAAATTCCAGACACATATTAGAGAATTGTTGTTCTGTTAAGAAAGGACTAATGTTAGATACCTCTACAAAAACTGGATTCATAAAAATTTAGTATTAAAAAAAGTAGTAGGGTTCCTATAGATATATTATGATTGTTTTATTTGGTTTGATATATTTTATTTCCATAAATGTCTTGTTCTATATTCATCAAAATAACTCAGATATAAATTAATGTGTAAATTTATATTAAATGGTAATTTTATTATAAATATATAGTTAATTTATTTAAACTATATACTAATAATTTTAAGTGAATTACAAGAAATAATTATAATATATAATTAATAATTTATTATAAAATACTAAAATTTTAAATTGTTGAGTTTATGATTAAAAATTTTGTTTACAATATTATATTATAATTCAACCAATTATAACAATAATTTAATTACAGTTGACCAAGTAATTTTTTGAGACCAAATAATTTTCATAAAATTGTATTTTCCATTGATTACCTTTAAAATAACGGGTTAAAAAAAGTGAAAAAAAATAAACCAAAAAGTGGTAAGGTGCTTCAATCTATATTAATAATAGTTTTTAATTAAAGTTTTAAACCCAATTATTTAATCTCTGACTATTATTTTGTCAACTATAAATACATTTATATAAATATTAAAAAATATATATAGTTTATTTATAATTAATAATTTTATTAGATCTTTTTGAATCTTGTCTCTTTATTGTTTTCTTAAAGAACAATTCATAACTTGTTATATAGAAGATGATGGACGAGTTAGTAGAAATGAAAAATGTGTTTGACGAAGTTCACAAACATTATCCATTCAACAAAGAATGGCTTCTTCGTGACATTACAGAGCATCACGGCTCTCATAAATACGTCTTTTTTTGGCAACCAAAGATAACAGGTGAAGTGAACAAGTCATGTCTTGGGCAATGGTATCCCTCTCCTTTCGATTATAACAACCAACACTTTCTCTTTGCTGAGCAATTTATGATGGCGTATAAAGCGAAGTTGTTTCACGACGATGAAATGTATCAAAAGATCATGAAAAGTACTGAACCACGTCAGATGAAGAAGTTTGGACAGCAAGTTAGAAATTTTGATAGTGATGTTTGGGATCAATATAAAGATGTCATAGTCTACACTGGAAACATTCAAAAGTTCACTCAAAATCCAGAGCTTCGAAAGTTTCTTGTCGAAACAGGAGATAAAGTTTTGGTCGAAGCAAGTCCTTATGATAATATATGGGGCATTAAAATGGACGAAAACAATCCAAATTGTAGAAAGCCCGAGTTGTGGTTGGGTGAAAATCATTTGGGATTCGATTTGATGATCACCAGAGGGATGCTCTTAGTCTAATTTTTAAATGACATTTATTAATTATTGTTATAGTTAAAATATAGTTTCTTTTATTATGAGGTTTATATATGAAGTATTAAATGAGTTTTATTTTTTTGAACATAATTTAAATACCAGTTCGTTTAATTGGCGCTTCTTTTTTAATTACTTATTGTGGTTGTTGGGGAGGAGGAACATCTTCTTTCTTTTCTACTTTCTCTACTTTAATCTCTTCGACCACATCGGGTATCTTTTCGATTTTAAGTTCCGCACATTTGATTGTTTTTTCTCTTCGATTGAGGTCGTCTTCCTTTTTAACATTATCAAGTCTTTTCTTGAATACTTCTTCATTGTTCTTTTCAAATTCATCTTTTTGTTTACTCAATAATTCTCTCTCTTCCTTTGTTTTATCAAGTAAGTTATTTAGCTGTTCATTTTGTTGTTCGAATTTTTGGTAAATGATTTTACTGTTTTCGATCAATTTTTGGTTTTCAGTGTATTTTTCTTTTTCCCTTTTAATCTGCATTTGAAGGACATTCTGTGCAGCAATAATCAATTTGTTCTGATCTTCATATATTTTTCTTTGTTTTTCATAACTTGCAATTGCGTCTTTTGCGTCTTGAATTTTGATTTCATACTCTTTTTTTAACGTTTCAGTTTGTTTCATTGTGACATCCAATTTATTATTTTCAGAGTCTAAATGTTCTTTTAGAATTTTAGACTCATCCAAACTTTTTTGAAGTTCAGTTTGTTTGGCTTCAAAAATAGTTTTATTCTCTTCGTTCTGTTTAACTAATTGTTCGAACATTGTATTTAACTCTAAATAATGATTCTCTTGTTCTATAATGTTAGCCTCTCGTTCATCTGGTGTCTTTTTCTTTTTGATTTCTTCTTCGACTTCCAAAAGTTCTTTTTTAGCATTTGATATCTGCTCTTCAATCGCACATTTATTTGTTTGCAACGTGTTGATTTCAGAGGTTGTTGCTTCTTTCGTCTTATTGAGTCCATCAATCTCGCCCGTTATATTAGCTTTGGTTTGTTGAAGCTGAGCAATTTCTGCATTTAACGCTGCTTTTGCTGTCTCCAAATTAGCAATTTGTTCGACGTTTGCTTGTTGTTCTGCCATTTGATATTATAACAGTTTTTGTCTTTATCAATAGAAATTTGAATAAAAATCATTATAATTTAATGATATTTAAATCTATTTTTAAATAATTAAAACAAATTAACAAAAAATGTTCTATTCGTTTTAAAAATCTTTATAATGACGTTGTTTTTATTAAATGAACAACTCATTTAAAATTGACTATTAAAAAAACACTATTATAACTCTATATGACTGTTATTTTTTTATTGTATTAGTTAATTAAATGATTATTGTTTTTTATGTTTTATTTGATTTTTTTATTATAAAAGTGTTATTAAATTTTTATATTATTTTTATTATTTATATAATGAGTAAGTATAGTATAATTTATCAAATAAAAATAACATATTTTTAGTCCATTACAAACCCGCCCAATTGTTATTTAATGATATTAAGTTTTCCTTTATACCAGTCTGCGTCAATATAAAAACCTTTAGCTGCGATTTTATGTCTTAATACAGGTGAGCATCCCGTGTTTTTAGTTTTCAGAGTTTTTCTTACTTTGTTGTATACAATAGTGTTTTTCTCTCTGAAACAGAATCTTTGAGTACACGTTTCCACTGTTATATTTTCTAGTTTATTATTATAATAATATGTATAAAACACGTGATTATGAAGTGCTTGGTCATAATACCACCTTCCCCACTCCTTTTCATCAATATTACTCACCATCCTTTCTAAGTACTTTTCTACTCTATCTACCCCTCCAAACACTGTTCCCACGTTAATTAAAATCGATCTGTTGTTCTTAAATCTATTGGCTTCGTCTACGCCATACGCTTGTTCAATTGCTTTGAAGTTATTTATCTCATCAAATCGAATACAATTGACTCCACCATACTCGCACTCCGCAGCAAAGATCAAATCGTCTTGTGAGAACGTGCTGAAGAAGTCCGCAAATATGAAAACGTCTCGTTGGTCACTGATTAGTACTCGGTCGTACTTCCCCTTGTTTTTCTTTAGAAAGTCTAAGTACGCCAAAAACCGTCGTGTCGCGTCTTGTCCATCTTTGGTGAATTTTACAACCTCAACACGGACGCCATATTGTTTCGCTGCTGAGTAAAATTCGTCAAATTGAAGTCCTTCTAATAATAAAGAAACACGGTCAGCACTTGGAATGGAAGACTGTGAAAGACCAAACGCAAGTCGGGTGTCCTTCTTGATATTCTGCCAGTAAAGCTCGTCGCGAAAGCCAACGGCAGTTAACCACAAGTCGCGGCGGTTATTTGGTTTATATTTGAATACTTTATTACACACACCAGTATATACAAAATTCCGAACGTCGAGAGAAGAGTCGTTGTAATGTGGTGGCGTGTAATAATACAACCCATCGTCTGATCTAAATTGTCGTTGTGAGGAAGAGTAAAAAAGCGTTTCTTTATGGAAAAATAATTGGAAAGAAATTAAGAAACAAAGAAGCATTGGAGAAAGTATCAAAACAAGCGAAAGTGGAGTGGTGGAAAAGGGCAACCTCATCCTGTTTTTTATATGAAACATTTTTAGTTTGTTTTAAAAATTATCGAATTTTTAGTATTTCGAAAATTAGAATTTTTAAATTTGAAAGTGTAATTAATTTAAATTCCACACCATTTTTTTTTGAGTTAAATAAAATATTTAATATTCAATATTTCATAATACAATAAATTGTTTTTTGTTTAATTGATTAAAAAGTATATAATAGATATAGAATAAAGTTAGTCTGTTAACATTATTTAAATATTATGTTTGGTTGTTTTTTACAACTTAAAAATTACAAGCAAAAACAAAAAATAATAAAAATTTGATAATTAACAATTTAAAAACAAAAAAATGATGCATTTTGAGATCAACAAATAAACGATTAATATGGTACACAACATAAACAAAAAACATTGTTGATGTGTTTAAAACATGTTGACGAACACACATCAAAAGATAAAATACAATGAATTAAACATTTATAACTGTAAATAAAAATGAAAATCAAAGAAAGAAGATGGGTCGCGACTAGCGAGCGTCTAGGAAAAATAATTGTGATGTCCCAGACAGCAGTTTATCAACTCATTTATTTTTAAAAAGACTTATAGACTTTTTTTTAACTTTTTTAGCAATATTTTTCATGTTATTTTGTTCAAATTTATTACCAAATCAATTGTATTAATTTACTTTTAACCGTTAAAATTATTTATCAAATGGTTTTAACTTATTTATGTTATTTGTTGTGTTATTGGTAATTTAGTTATAGAAATAGTTATATTATTTATAATATTTTTATACTTACTTTATACAATAAGTTAGTGACATTTTAATATATAATTGATATTAAAAAATAAATAAAGTTATAAAAGTGATAAAAAATCGCTTCATTCCTTTTAACCACTTCCACTTGACTTTATAGATTTAAATAATATGATAATAATAAAATGTATGGTACTGTTTATTATGAAGGCTGAATATGTCAAGTAAAGACTTTTTTTGTCCAAAATGGTAATTAGTTTTTTTTGGAAGAAAAAACAAAAGAATCACATAAATAAAATCGATTCAGTATGAGTGTTATTATAATTTATCATTTATATATAAAAACTATATTATAAATATAAACTTATTGATAAATTATTTTAAAAACTTGATTTAATTGTTTTTTTTATTTCTATGTTTTTCAAAAACAATGTTTTTTATATTTATAAATGAATAACTAATAATATTAATTAACACTCCAATGCAACAAATTCCACCATCAATAATGAAGAAAATAGTTTCTCATTGTGACATTCGAACATTTTTAAATATTACTGAGACGTGTTCTTTATATTCCAATTTACAAACGGACGATTCAATATACAGATCTATTTATGGTTCTCATGTTACTGGTCGTCTAAGTGCAATTCAAAATTTAACAATTAATTTTAGTAAGCGAGTTATATACGTATCAGACAATACATTGAAACATAATCAATGGAACAAAATATTTAAATCACAAGTCTCTGCGATACTTCTATTTTTGTTTACAAATCACTACGTCGGTATTTTTAACTTTTTATGTTTATTTGCATTTTCAGTGTTATATCCACTTTCGCTGGATAATACTCTTCAAGTGAATTGTGGATATATTTCACTACTTTTACTCCCACCTTCTCTTGACATTTTTATTGGTACTTATTGGTTCTTAATAGTTCGACTAGTCACAAAACTAAGATTGGTCAATGACTTCTTTGAAATTTTGAATACCCCAGTGCCCTTCTACTACTTTTTCTTGATATTTACTTCGGATTTGAAAATCCTCAAATCGACAATAATAGTGCCGTTGATAGTTTTTAGTACTACTGTTTTGTTTGTGATTCATTCATTTGGAGTGTTTTCAATTGGGTACGTTTTACTCCCACTGTTATTGCACTTGTTACTCTCTTGTGTGACGTGTGGGTGCACATTAAACACATTCAAATTGTGTGGAGATAAATACGACATTCTACGTTCGGATATCGAGGAAAAGTGTTTTACTCCCATTGTTGGTATTTTAAAGTCGGTAATTATGTGTCCAATTTTAATAACTTTGCTCAGTCTTTTGGCAGTCAAATTGATAGCAGAAGATGTTTTTATATACGAAAGTGGCCTTATTGTGATACCCCTCTTTTTCGCTGTAATAATTTTGTTTGAGGCTTTTAACTTCCTTTTTATAACATTTTCGTACATTTGCTGTATATGTGACTGGGAAGATGATGATCGAGAAGACACTTGTTATGGGACCAGATTTCAGTCTAAAAATACAGTACTTTTTTATGAATCATTTTTTATTTCAATTGTCGGTCTTGTGCCTCTTGTGCTTGTTTGTGTTACTTTGTGTCTATGTTATGTTGTGAAATTTGATTCAAATAATGTGAAATTGAATTATATGAAAGCATTTATACCTATGATTATATCAATTGGGTATGTCTATATATCCGGCTTTTTTAATGGGTGTGGACTTGAAAGTGAAAACATGTGTCCTTTAATTTGTCCTGATTGGTGTGGCTGTTTCAAAAGTATTTTTTGTTGTACGTGGAAAAAAAGAAATCCATTTGATAAATATCAAAGATATTTTGATATGTGGGAATTCTTATAATGTTGGATCTTTGAACTCCTTTTGTTTTGTGAAAGTTTTAATTGATAATTACTTTTATGTTAAGTTTGTGGTTGGTGATATATATATGATTGATTGACTCAATAACAAACATAAAAAAATAAGAGTTGTTATAAAGTAAAGCAAAATTTATAAATATTTAAAAGAACATGATAAACGCCTTAAATAACATTGAATAGAATTCAAGTTTTTTAATATCAATAAAGATAATCGAGTTTTTTTAATTTATTTCTTTTTTTTCAAAGTTGATTATGTATAAACCTGACACAAACCAAAATAAAAAACATAAAAAAAACAATTTATTTTAATGGGAACTGGTCTATTGAAAATGAGGTGTTTTTGAGTGTAAAAACAAGAAACATGCAATTTTTAAACTATGGCTAAACCGTTCAAGAGCATGAGAGTTTGGTAGTTCTAATTCTTTCAAGAGCGGGCATTTTAAGATAATCAAATAATAAAAACAGCTTTTTAGAGATAATTTTGTTTTAGTTTCATAAATGCTTATACCCAAAAAAACCCGCTTTGCTATAATACCACTTTTGGACAAATTAACTCTATTGTTTAAAATATATTTGATTAAAATAATAAAGAATGTTTGTTGATAAAAAATATTACAACACATTTATATTAATAATATTATTAATAATTATAGCAATTTTGTTTAACGAATTTCAATGAAGTTTGCTTTGAAATTAAGTAATTAATTAAATTAACATTCCTCATCTAAGTTTTATATTATCATTAACAAATAGAGTCAGTCGATAAATGTTGTCTTTTTGACAAAAAATAATTGATTTTTGTTTAAAAAAACGGGAATTAGGTAAAAATGAAAAAAACTGGGAAAAATATTGAAACAATGATTTTTGGGTTTTTCAAAAAAATTCCCGAAATATTCCATTTATAATGGTCTAAAAATAGGCAGACAACATTTAGAAAATAACTCGATGTTTTTTTGAATGGGAAAAATAATGTATAAAAAATGTAATATCTAATAACTTATTATTAGTTTATTATTATTAAAATAAAATAATAATTATCAATTTATCATTAAAAATCAATATCTCAATGTTGGTTTTTGTAATTATTTAATGTTAAAAAATAAAAATAGAATTAATGAAAATTGGTATTTTTATTAAATAATAAATATAATAAGAGTCACAAAGACTGAATTAATTCACAGTGTGGATTTATTTCTTCTCCTCTTTATTTTCAGTAGCAGCAGCCTTTGGTGCGGCTTCTTTTTGTGCAGCAGCAGCTCCCTTCTTTCCTCCCTTCTTTGGCATGTGTATTAAACGAGTGAACTGAAAGATGGTGTCTTCTCTTTTATAGGATCAA